GTAGAGAGACTCACAGCTTGCCCTCTCCCACAAGTACACCAAGAATTGCATCTACAGACCCACTGAATCGCACAGAACGCCTGCTGAACTCTGGCCGAGTGGCTCTCACTTTGAAATACAGGAGGATTCTCACAAAATCCGATAAACAACAAGTTTACACTGTATAGCACAGGGAACTGTACTCAACATCCTGTAGTAACTTGCGTACGGTTAAAAAGAACATGAAAATGAACATAAGTCTGTTCCTGTATGACTGGTGTTGTGCTGCACACCAGAAATTGACACAAGATTGTAAACTGACTATACTTCAATAAAAATGCTAAAAAATGCAAATAAAAAAGAAAGCTTTACCTAAAGAAGAAAGGCACTCACTATTTCAAGAGCACCTGCAGGGGAACAACTCATCACACCCCATGAAGAACCATGATAACACTGCGCCACAGAAACCAAACTTAGCGTCACGGAAAATCATGATCTCACTGACAGGGGATTTTACACAGCTGTCACAAAGAAATGCGACCTACACGGAAGCTCGGAAAGGCAGTTCAATGAGCTCAGGAGTAACATTAAAGAAGAGAAGGGACACTTGACCAAACTGAAATTACGGAGCCGAAGAACTCGATCAACAAGACGAACAGTGCAACAGAAGGCACTGGAAACAGAACCGACCACACGGAGGAGAGGACAAGTGCACCCGAAGATGGGACTCCAGGGATGATTCAGGTGGAAGAGGAGGCAGAATCATCACCTTTAAAGAACGAGGAAGTTCTACGAGGATTCTCCAACTCTTTCAGGACGGGCAACAGTAGCACAGCGAGTAGCCCAGAAGGAGAAGAGAGGGAGAGGAGCAGAGAGGTCCCTTAAAGAAGTAAGAGCTGAGAACACCTCCAAACCTGGGGAAGGAACCAGATCTCCGAGTCCATGAAGCTAAGGGAACACTCAGTTACCTCAACACAAAAAGACCTGCTCCAAGAACTGTCAAAAGTCAAAGACAGAGCAAGAACTTTAAAGGCAGCCAAGAGAGAAAGAATGAACCTACCAAGGAAGCCCCACGAAGCTCTCAGCAGATTTTATCTACAGGAAACAATGGTGTTCACTACACTTTCCGTGGCACCGATTTCATGATGTATGTAAGTGAAGTGATTATGCTGTGCACTAAGTTTACACAGTGTTGTGTCAATTATCTCTCAGCAAAAGTGGAAGAAAAAATAAAAGTAAGTAGGGAACAAAAAAAGAAATGAGCTATCCAGCCATGAAATGACATGGAAGAAACATAAATGCATGTCACCAAGTGAAAGAAGCCAGTCTGAAGGCTACCTACTGCGTGAATCCAACTACGACGTTCTGGAAAAGGTAAAACAATGGAGATGATAAAAAAAAATCAGTGATTTCCAGGCACTGAAGGGGAAGAAGGGATGACTAGGCAGGCACAGAGGAGGGTTAGGGCAATGAAAATTCCCTGCATGTCATTACACACTTGCCCAAACCCACAGAACGCACACCACCAAGAATAAACACTAATGTAAATGACAGACTCTGGGTGGTAATGACGTGTCAGTCTTGGCTCATCAGTTGTAACAACCGTCCCACCCCCGTGGGGCTGCTGAGCGGGAGGCATGGGGCGGGGAGTATGGAAAACTCTACTTCGTCTGAGTTTGCTGTGAAGCTAAAATTTTGCTCTAAAAAACAGTCTTTTATAAAACTGCCTTTGGTGGACTTGAGAACGTCCCCAATGTCCTGCTCTTCCCTGGCGCTGACCGCACATGCCCATATGGTGCCTGTGTGTGGGGGGATGTACGTGTTCAAGCACATCGGGGGAGTGCGTGGACACAGGGCAGGCGGTGGTGTCCAGCACGAGGCATGAAACACAACCTGTGATGCATCTTTGCGCCTTGATCAAGACATCATATTTGCCCTGCAGGGAAATTCAACTCTCAGATCCAAACAGAAACAAATACATTTTTCACTACAACTGAATCGAGCAGGACGGTCTTCTAGCTGATGCACAGGCAGGTCTGCCTCGGATGGGACCTCCACCACCTCCAGAAATCAAGCCCTCATGGAGATGCTACTACAGAATTCAGGCTGACAGGACGTTTGGTAACAAATTTCCTGCGGTGTTTGCCTTGGACAAGACACCACCTGCAAAGGCTCCGTCGACAGTGAGTTATGTGGATAAATAAATAAAACACCAGTGGAGGGTTTACGATTAATCACTGAGGAGGCTGCCACCTGGTGCTTCTCTGCTCCTGCACCCAGAGATCTACAAATAACGTCCCCATCGCGACCATGGGAGCAGGGTTTGAACTGGACAGATGCAAATAAAAACTAATCTCTGCTGCTGTCCTACCAGGGAAAGCCGAATACTTTTACGGGCCTCTCCCACTGTAAGACTTTTCCCAAAACCAATATTGAACTTTTTCCTCCAAGCATTTTAACCCAGAGACCCGTAACTCTGCGGGAGTTACGGACACACACGAGACTCTGACAAGGCGAAGAACCCACTTCCTCACTGGGGCTCAGGGGCTCAGGGACCCCCAGACTGTGCACCTGGCCTCACCTGCAGCCGTCAGGGCTCAGTTTTCAGATGTCGAGAATGCATTTCCATACCAGCCTGACTGCGGGCCAAGGACCCAGCGCTGCGCAGGAGGCTCTCAGGCTTGAACTTGCAAATGCAGCGCAGGCACATCACAGACAGCAGCTTCTGTAGTGAGTTCCGCCCTCCCTGCTCCTGTCAGACCGTGGGCCCGGGGTTTCAGGAGGCAAGGTACAAGGGACTCAGGTTTGACCCATGCCCTGGGAGAGACCACAGAGGAGGAGACGTGGCTGGCCCCCCACGGGAGGCTACGGACACCGTCTCCTTTAATCCCCCGACACCCGGCCACTCACTGACATCGACTGCGTACTCCGCACCCCACGGACTGCAGGCACAGCAGAACTGTGTGGCGGAGCCCCTGACTGCAGGGCGTCTAAGCTGGTGGCCTCAGTGTCAAGTGGGGCCAGTGCCTCGGGGACAGAAGGCCATGGTGGGCAAGGATCACTTGTTGATGCCTGCCAGCTTCCTGGAGGAGGCTGCGTTCTAAATAAACACAGAGGAGCTGCGCACGCCTCCTGTGCCGTGGGCACGGACGTTTGCCCTGATCGGTGAGGAAGGAGGCGGAGGCAGGTGGGCACCTGTCAGGGGCTCACCAGTTCCTCCTACAGCAGGTCCCGCCGGGGGCAGGTGCCCTGGCCCTACTGCTGAGGGCCTGGGGACGGGCTGGGGGACTGGGTGAAGGCCCTAGGGGTGACTCTGACTCAAGAAGAGGAACATGTTACACCATCAGGAGCGGCTGCGGTGGAGAGAGTGGTGACCCCCAAAGATCTGTGCGCCTGGGACCCAGGAATGAGACTGATCTGGGAAAAGACGCGACTTGCTTTTGCAGATGGAATTAAGGTAAGGATCTCAAAACGAGGCTCATCCAGGATTATCAGACGGGCCCCAAATCCAACGGCTAGTGTCCTTCTACAAAAAGAAGACACAGGTGAGACGGTGATGTGAAGACGGTGCAGAGACTGAAACGATGCAGCCACAAGGCGAGGATGCCAGGGGCCACCAGAAGCTGAAAGAGGCAGGAAGGACCCTCCCCTGGGCCAGAGGGAGCACAGTCCAGTGGGCAGTGGCCAGCATGCTGCTGAACGCCCTACGAGGCTCAGGGCAGCCCAACCACAGGGAACCGTCCAGCCCCCACTGTCACCAGGGCCGAGATCGAGTGACCCTGCTCGAGCCTGTGATCGCTGCCTACACCAGCCATTCTCAGAAGTGTCCTGTGTCACCTCGTCCTGCAGGATACTAATGGGTGTTTAAGGAAAGGAGTCCCAGGGTCAGATACGTTTGGGAAACACCACAGACTTCAGCCTCTTCTTAGATGTCCAGGGCCCTTTGGTCAATGACTGGTTCTGAGTTTCTTCCATGAAGACCCTGGTTCAACTAGCACTGTCAGCATCTTCCAACCGCAAGGGATGCCGCGCCCCACGCACTGCAGCACGCTCCCCCAGAAGTGCTTCACCAGACCAGGGCGCAGAAAGCCCAGAGTTCTACAAGGTCGCTGGAAGGGTGACGGCCGAGGCCAGCGTCTAAGCCCGGGCTCCTAGTCTGTCCACCTGGCCACAGGACCCACTGCCCGCACCTCCTTAGTACCAGCCCTGTCCCCACTTCCCACCAACACTGGACCCGGGCCCCAGTGCCTCCGCCCACAGCTCTGCCTGTGATGGTCACCACAAACGCTCCCAGGAAGAACCACCACCCTCCCCCACAGGCCTTACAGCCACGTCCACCCTTGACCTTTCTGTAAGAGGCGGGGCTCAGCACAGCCTCCTGGGCCTGAGCCCCTTTGACCTTCATCACGAGGGGTCCACGATGCTCTGTCTACCTGAGCCCCCATGTCCTCAAGGGTGGGACAGAGCAATCACTCTGACCTGGAGAACACGCTGTGAGCGCAGACACAGGGCTGGACCTCCAAGGGCCTCGTGAGCAGCAGACACTTTCAGGTTTACGGGGTCTCCGAGCAGTGCTGGAACAACTCTCTCCCCTTCACGTCCCCTCTCACCCCTCCCCTCCCATCTGGCTCTCCTGTTGGCACGCCCTGCCGCACTCCCCGCACTGGACACCTGCGTGCCCCGCACGCCAGCCCTGCTGTGCCGTCCTAAGCAGTGATGCTCTCGGTTACCTGCTGAGCTGCTTTTGTTTTTTCGAATACATGTGAAAACTAATATGCAATTATCAAAATAAAACAAGGTCCCTTGGCCCCTCCTCATTGTGCCCTGAGCCTGTCGCAAGCACCCCTGCTCACTACAGAGGAGGGGAGTCTCCCTCCATTGCTCCCCAGCGCAGGCCCCTCCACGCCGCCCCCTCCAGGCTAGCGGCAAAAGCGCCACCTCAAACTCAGCCTTGGCGCCCACACCCGAGTCGCCGCCTCCGGCAGGAGAGTCCCACCCCGCGGGATCCACCCTCCACTCACCAGAGATGATGGAGTCGTTCAGCGCCTCTTCGTCCTGATACAAAAGCAGGTCGTCCTTGAGTTCAGAGTTCATGATCAAGTTCTCCTTGTTCTCCTCGGACTCCGTAGCCGTGGCCCGCTTGCCGTCCGAGCCTCCGTCAAAGCTCCAAGCCTCCTCCCGCTCCTTGCCCCGCTCCATGCTGGACGTCCTGGACAGCCGGACGTCCATGCGCTTCTTCGGGGACCCTTTACTGTCCCTTCCTTGGAAACTGAACCAGAAAGGTAGTTCGGGTTATTCGTTGTCCCCGTCACCTAGAAATGCTGCAAAGTCGACTTGGGGACTGATAATGGACGTGCGGAGACGGCCCCCAAGTACGTGCGGACAATACACAGAACAAGGAGCACCAAGGCTCACGTGGCTTTGAGTCCAAGGCAATCGGCTGTTTAGAATGTGCTGTTTTGAAAGACACAGACGTGCACGTAGTAAAACCCACAAGACGTCGTGTGGCAAACGCCCAGATCAAGGATCCCTAAGAACTGAGAAGGGCATCTTATTTGTCTGCTATTTCTGCCGAGCCACGTGTGCGTTCCATTATCCCTTTGCCCTCCAACGACTCACTTGTCCTCACAGTCTATGAAGCACATGAGATCAAAATAAGAGTCAAAGAACAACCTTACTGGGCTCTTGCCTGATGAAAACTCGAGACCATCAGGGACCTGGGGCAACGTAACAGCTACTTCTTTCTCCCTCATGGTTTTCTCTTGTGATGCTCCCACTGGGCCCTGGATCCTCCAGGGGAAATGCAGAGGCTTTGGGGCTGGTTCCCATGGTGCACACCTCCCACCTGACCTGTCCCAGAATCTGGCAACAACCGAGACCAGCTACAGACCAGCTGCAGGGCCCGGTGCAAAATGAACATGTGAGCATCTTGGCCCAAAATTGAGAATTTCAAGACAGTGACAGCAGAGCTTTGTGCCCAGCACTGGCCCCACCCCGGTAACTGCACAGGTGCCGCCTGTGAGGCTGGCTTGTGCAGGGACTTGGGCGCATAGGTCCCCCCGCCAGGGGAGGGGCCTCACCTGTCCTGGCGGTGCTTGGTGGCCAGCGCCCTGTGCAGCTCCTCAATGACGCGGCTGGGGGGCAGCGGCCGGTGGACGGTGGTGAGATGTGGAGACCCCGTGGGTGTAGAAAGCTGTCCTCGGAGGGGAGGGTCAGCACTCTTCCCGCCACAGCCCTGGAAGAGCGCAGCCTGGCCTGGGGCACGAGAGGGACCAACAAGGATGTAAGTCTCTGGGAGCAGGGAAGTGGGGCTTTGCTGAAAGACAAGCCCGTGAACAGACAGGATGCTGGGCTCACTCATGCACCATCCAAATGCTGCAGCAGCCCCCCGCCACCAAAGCCAGAGACAGGGTTTGCCCCTGACTAGTTCTGCTCCATCCTTGGAACCCGAGCCGAGCAGACTCAGTGCCCACAGGATCCCTGGCAGCTGAAGCCCTCCTTCCTGTTTCTCTCCTACAAACTTGGCTTCCTGAACCACACCTCCTTTTGTGGAACCTGGAAGAACTCCGTGAGCTCTACAGCCATCGCTCAGACTGGACCACCACCATGGCCCCTCTTTCCTTCCTCACATCATCCATTCACATCTGCCTCCAACCCTATACCTCACCCAGTGGGAGCTTTCTGGAAGGCAAAGCTGATCACAGCTCTCACATTCTCCTCAGGACAATATCTGGGCTGATGATGACTAGTCCCAGGGCCCTGCAGGCTGCCCCTTAAATGTATTTTGATACGTTTTAATACTTCAACATATTTTGATATGTTTCAAATGTTGGCAACACATTTCTTTAAACAATGTAGACCAGCAAAGCAAGTGTGTAGCAGGATTTGGATACAGGTGATTCCCTGACACCTGGGGGAGGGAGGGTAAGGAAGCTCGTGGGCTGGGGCTGCTGCGGTCACCTCAGACGAGTGAGTGCCCAGTGGGGACAGCGTGCCCCAGTTAAGCCCCAGCGAGGGGTCTTTCTCCTCCTCTGCTGCCACCTAGTGTTCACATGCTGAAATAAACATTTCACCCTAAAGATAATTAAGACAAAGTCACTGAAACGCATCTCAGTGTGAAAGATCCAGACTTAAGTCCAAAGCTGCTAACTGTCCTCCTGTCCCCTCTCGTGCCTAGTTCAGTCCCCAGACCTGTCAATGACTTGTCAGAAAATCCCGCTTTATGTTCTGGAGCTCCTCCCCGGGGGCGGGTGAAAAGCCGAGGTGCTGTCCGAGGTGCTGACCATGGCCCCAGGACGCAAGATTAGGAAGTGGGGTTCATGCAGAGATCCATGCAGCCTGAGCTCAGGTCTTGCCCAAGGGCAACAGGGACAGAAAACCTCTGCACTACTGACTTATTAAGGGTCTGGAAAAATTACACAGGACCCAAATAAAGCAGGTGGATGGTGCCTTATCCAGTGGATTTCCAATTGTTTCAGGTTTCAATGGATGGAAAGGGGGATTATCGCAAAGATAGTAACAAAATACAGGACAGTATTATTTTGCCTCAAAACTTTGACTCTAATTTGTGTGGCCATGTCACCCAAGGACTGAATACTCTGGCTCATTCCCAGAGATGGAGAAAAGAGGCAGAAAGCAGACAGACGGGGTCAGGACATCTGACTCTTCCTTTGATCACAGTCACCTGCACTCGCTGAGCACCTGCTGGATGCAGGCCCTGGGATCTGGTGGTGAATGCAGAGTTCCCTCCACTGTAAAGTGGGCACATGCTCCCACCCCAGGGGGGCTAGCCCACAGATTAGGAGCGGGCTGTGTGTCCTTGGTGCTCCCCTCTCTGACCACCACCCACAGTCTGATGTGGACTCTCGGCTCTGCCTTGCTGGACAGAGCACTCACAGAGATGAGCAGACAGTGAGAGAGACAGAGAGGGAGGAAGAGGAAGTGAGTGGAGGGAAGAAAGTGGTGAGAATGAAAGGAGGGGGAATGGGGGGCAGACACTGACTTAAAGGCAAAAATAGAAGGACAGTTAGACACCTGAGTACCTAATACAGAAGGAGAGAACACCCCTGCCCTGGGGCTGGCTGCATCTCCTGCATTCAGGTTCTGGAAGACACCTTTGGAGACCACCCTACATTTGCTTGAGGGAGCCGTCTGCTCCTGACAGCCAGAGCTCCTTGCTAAGAACCACCCTCCTGCCTCAGTTCTGCTCTCTTGGACCTGCTCAGAGCCCCAGTCACAGAAGCAAAAAGTAAGAACCAGCCCACAGTGGGAGCCCAATCAGGATTGGTCGGAGGCATGGATAGATGGAAGGATGGAAGGATGGAAGGAAGGAAGGAAGGAAGGAAGGAAGGAAGGAAGGAAGGGTGGATGCATGAAGACCCACCTGTGACATTTTTTGTGGTTTTGGAGCCTGTCTTGGGTGGTGGGGTGGGCAGCAGTGGGGGGCTGGGGAGCTGGCCCATGGACCTCTCGAAGGGTCTGGGAGGACTGTTCTGGGAGTCGGACCCAGCTAAGGCTTGAGAGGGCTCGTCTGTGGTAGATGGACGGCTGCCGCCAGCATCTGCTTCTTCACCTCCGGATGCTGATGACATCTTGGCTGGTTCAAAGGAAAAACAGACAGTTTACAAACAACAGTTCCTCTGACTGGGGGGGATGTAAAGACAGCAAGGGGGCTGCACGGGATTGTTAACACGGAGCAGAGTACAAAGGGGTCACCTTTCACGGAGACTTGACTTCAATTATCGACAGAAACATCAGAAGCAGAGAGAGGAGGAGGAGGGAAGGAGGGCGGGAGGCCATAACTTCAAGAGTGTGGGTGACTCCACCCCTTCTCCACTCAGTAGGTGGTGCTGAAGCTCCTGCCTCACCCGGGGGTGCTGGTCACAAGCGCAGGTTGTGGAACCCGACTCTGGCTGACCCCTGCACCTCCTCTGTGACCTTGGATAAGTTATTATACTCTGGTGTCTCCATTTACCCGTGAATGATGTTGAGTGAATAGCAAGCGTCTCTCACAGGGTTGCTGTGAGTTTTAACCAAGAAGCAATGACGAGATGTGTGCCTGGTGAACTGCAGACCCTCAAACTCGGCAGCTGACTTTACACGCCTGGTTTTCAACAGCCTTGCTCCCAGGAGAGCCTGTGAGGTGAGTGGCGGGGAGGAGCAGGGAGCATCAGTTTTGGGGAAGGGTCGGCCCGCCCAAAGCCCCAGCCCCTCTCTTCCCAGCTGTTGGCTCAGGCTCCTCCAGAACAGCCCCTCCATCTACTGCCCCAGCCTGCCCACCCCGGTGCTTTCTCCCACCCCATAAGCCCTCTTCTTTCTCTATTCAGCTCCAGTTCCACTGTTCATCACTGCAACCACCATCTCACCAATACCCTTTGCCTCATGTCCTTTTCATTCAGCTCTCTGGGAAAATCCCACCTTTGGATAAAGCCTCTATCTGCAGGTTCCTGTCCCTGCTGAGTGATACAGAAGAAAGACAGAGACACTGATGCCCCAGTCCTGAGTCCCCATCTCAGGACCACCACCCTCAGGGCCCTCGGCACTGCCTCCATCCTGCAGTCACTCTGCTTCAAACCTCTTTTGTCTCTTTCCTGCCTCCAGCTTCTCACTCCCTCCTCCCGTGCAGCCTCACCTCCAGCTTCACAGGAGAAACTGAGCACCAGACCTGGGATCAGAGCAGGAGAGGGGCGCCTGAAGGCTCGAACACAAACCTACTGACCCTGACATACCCTTCCTTCCTCCCTGATACAAGAAGAGAGGCGGCTTCCTGTCCCCACCTCAGGATCTCAGGCTCCCTGCCCTCTCAGAGAACACCCCAGGTGCCCAGCCCTTGTCCCACATCACCTCATTTTATCTTTGCCATCCCCTAAGGGAACAGCCTGACAGAGCTGGTCCCAGAGTCCTCGTGTAGGAGTCAGCACCAGGGCCCACCAGGGAGGTGGCGCTGCCCGTGGTGCTGAGAGCACGGTGGTGACTGAGGCAGGCCCGACCCCTCCCCTCACAGAGCTTCCCGCGAAAGTCTACAGAGGGGCCTGCACGTCCCTCGTATCCTGCTGGTTGTCACCATTCCTGTTCTTCTACTGTCTGTGTTGGACGTTCAAGACCCCTCAGGCCAGGACTTCTCCCTTGTGAAGCTCATGGAAGCGCAGTCTTCGCCTTCGAAGGGCTGGCCCTCTCAAGATCTGAGAAACCCTTCCCATCCGCCGCAGAAGGCAGACTCGGGTCTGTACCGTGAGGTCAGCCCGAGCTGAGACCAGCCGTTACTCTCTTGTCCTGCACGGAAACTCACGTGCAAACACTGGTTTTATACGATTACTGCTATACAACTGTCCTCAAAAGTGTTATTTGTCCATAGGAATTTTATAAAGACTCCTAGGCTTCAAGACTACCGTGAGGTCCTCTGAACTGTAACCCGTCCCTAAGCGTCTTAGAAGATTGTTTTAGTTCGTAAGTTTTGCAAAAATAACACTAAAATAAACATTTTGTGCTTCTAGGTGAAAACAAACAGTTGTGTGATTTCCTCAAGCCATAACTGAGTGTGGAAATGTCCTTTTTCTTCATGTGGGCACCGGTCCTATGATTTTGTCGGGCCTCCTGGCTCGTGTAAATCAGCGCAGTGCAGTGGACTCTGATCCTTCGGAGGCCACGCTCCCGAGCCCAGGCCCTCGGCAGCCAAGCTTGCAGCCGGAAGCACGGGTGTGGGGCGGGCGTGCGCGGCAGTACTCGGTACAGGCTCGCTTCCTGTCCTCTGGGCACCCAGCACGCTCCCAGGGTCACGGTTTCAGGGAAGACAGCGGTGCAGGCATGGCTCACCTGGCCTCAAGCACACCCGTCCCCCAGGTCCCTCCTTCACCTCCGTTGTGACTGGCTCATTCCCAGATGAGTGACTTCGGTTTCTACCTCTCTGAGCCTCAGTTTCCTTGCCTGTACAAATATCTGTATAAAATACCGATCCTGCCCACTTCAAGGGAGGGAAACTTACATGAGGACACAGAGGAAAAGTCTGGAGCTATTCAGCACTTGTCCGGCTTTGGACAGTTACGGCCACACTGTCATGGATAAAAGCATTATTGCGGAACATGGGTGAGTTTCTTCTCATTCTAGGTCAGAGGTTCTCGACCCTGGCAGCACTGACATTTGGGGCTAGAAAATTCTTTCCCTGTAAGATGTTCATCAGCAGCTCTGGGCTCTGTTCACCAGGTGCTAGTTGTGACAACACAGCCTAACATCCCTGGGGACAGACGCCCACAGTGGAGAGCCCTGCCTGAGGCGGACACTACTCAGATCTCTGAGGGGACAGCTGGTGGTGTCTGCTTGGCGAGGCAGCCCCGTGGTGAGACCCACAGCTGCGAATGCTCCTGGAACAAGCCTGTGTCCCACCTCCAGGGACACATGGACAGGCCAGTTTCTCCCTCTGAGCCATGTTCTCCCCGAGACCTGGGAGTCGGAACAAGGTGGGCTCCACGGGGTCCCTTGGGAGCATCACTGAGAGCAAGGTGAACAGGGTGACAGAGCAGCCCAGGGTCAGGGTCCCAACACCTGCATCAGCCAGAGCAGGCCCACTGGGTTCTGTCCCAGCACAGTCCTTCCATCTCCGCATCTCTGTACCTTCTCCTGTGGCATCTGGACACCACGACTCCAGTTCCCTGCTTCCTCACTGGCTGCACCTGCTCAGGCTCCCTCGGGCTCCACCCGGGCTGTCCCTGGACACAGCCCTTGGTCCTCTTCCCCATTAACTCACTCTCGTCTAGTCCTCTGGCTTCAGAATCAACCCCATCTCTGTTGACCCTTGACCCAGTCTCAGAGCACCAGACTCACATTATCAGCCACTGTGACACCTCCGTCTGGAGGTCAAACAGTCAAAATGGAACACATGCAAACCCATCTCTTGATTTCCCAGGGGATTCCCTCCCCAGTTCCTCTTCTCTCTCACTTACCCATCCATCCATCTCACAGGAGTCCTTGAACAGTTAGCTGGCCCAGGCACCCACCCCTCCAGAAGCTGTGGACACTGCGTTGACCAAGACGGGGCCCCATCTTCACTAGACTTACTGCACGGCCCCCCATCCCCTGCTATCCAGCCAGACTAGACACAACACTCGTCCCTCTCCTGTCCACTCCACCTTGTACCCGCCCCTTGTATCTAATTCGCGAATAAATCCTGGGCAGTCTACCTCCAAAATAGCCTCAGAAATACTGTCCCCGACTTGTCCTCCAGTGTCAGCTGCCACGGCCTCGGCCTGGATCTCAGCAATGGCCTCCAAGCTTGTCCTCTTCGACCCAAAATGCCCCAAATCCTTCCTCTAACTGAGGGGTGGCAAACTTTACCTGTAAGGGGCTTTGGCTCTGCGTGTTATAAGGTCCCTGCTGGTGCAGAAAATTCTGGAAAGGCTGGCCGACACAAACGGCACTGTCCCCTGGCCATGCACCACAGTGGACATGTGACCACCCCTCAGCCTCCGAGCCGCCCAGCAGACCTTTCTGAGATGACAGAAACGTCTCCTCCTGTCCGTCACAGCAGCCACTTGCCACGCGTGACCAATGGGCACCTGACAAGTGGCTGGTGCAACTGGGGAGCTGGATATTTTATTTTATTTGGTTTAAATTAATTTAAACAGCCAAGCAGCTAGTGGACAGCACAGGGCTGGATTTCTGGGAGCGACTCGTGGTCACAGCCCACACTCCTTCAACCAGAGAGACTGCAGGGTAAGCTTCTAATAGCCCCCTCGGAGGGCCCCCCACTCAACTAGCCCAAGGCTGAGTGTGGGTCCCCCAGCCTCTGCTCTGAGGGCCCTGGGATTCAACACACCAGGAACTCACACCAAAAACCTTCCTCCAATGTCTCTCCTCAAAACTCATCATTCACTGACCCGTCTCACCCCCAACCTGTCTGAGGGTCCACGGTCTGGGAAACTGGTGTTTCAACATCTCCTCTCCAGTCTCCATCTTCCTCTGCATCTCGCATGAGTGTGAAGCTACCACTGTATTTTGGAATCTTGCACAAACTGAAATGTTAACATCTGTTAAAGTTCAAAGTGATATACTGAACTTTTTAAAAGGTAGAAGCCCACGAGGGCTTTGCAAAAGTTCCCTGCACTTGGGACCCTGCCCTGACCAGCAGAGGTCGCTTCTCACCAGCTGAGCTCTCAGCCAAGGCCCGTGGCCTGGGGCGTGCTGCTGGGGGTGGGCACGCTTTACACCCAGTTATCACCCACCAGAGACATTCTGAGACTCAGAGACACCTGCTGAGAGGAGGACCTGCTGGGCGATGGGACAGCTGCCATGGGCAGTTTCACTCTATCCCAGGGATAGCAGCATGTCCTTGGTCTCAGCTTGGACATCTGGCCCTCGGCAAGGAGACTGGCCAACTCTGGGAAGGAAGTTCCACAGCTCAGGGCCCAGAAGTTAACAACAGCCGAGTCCCGGTGTAGGTGGGACCCGCACAGCCCCCGGGCACTGGGGAAGTGTGGCCACCAGCTGGGAGGTGGCTGCTGGGTGCAGACCCCATCTTGGCTTGGTCTCCAGGCTGGCCGGGCCAGCACGCTCGCGCAGGCCATACACACACAGGCGGGCTGGGGCTGACCGGTAGCCTGCAATTTGCCAACCCTCTTCTAGACTGCAGAAACATCCCACGTTCCAAAACATTCCGGAGCAGAGCAAAGCCTAGCTCTAGTTTGGGCTGTAGAGTGTTAGCGTTAAGGGCAAGTTTCAGGATCAAATCCCAGCTTTACCACTTATGTGCTCCGTGGCCTTGGGCAAGTGACCTAAACTCTCTGGGCCACTGATCGCTCATCTTAAAACCAAACAACCAAAAAAAACGGGGCTAAGATAATACAGCACACACAGAACGTGCTCACCGAATGCCACTTTTCCTTTCGATGAGAACACCCACAGAAATGCCAGAGCTCGGCCCCTGCCCAGCAGCCACACCGAACGTGTCCCACTTAATGTTATAATGACTCCTCCTGGGCTTTTACAGGCAGTGCTCTGTGGCCGAGGCAGCACCTCCCACACAAAACCAGGAATCACCTCGAACGCGAATCACCCCAAACGCACAGCCCAAAGTCAACCCAAGTCACTAAACCCAACCAAGGACCCAAGAAAACACTGGTCGGAGTCTCTGACAGTGCTTCCTTCTCGAGATCCTTGCGATCGTTGGACAGGACCCCTTATGTCCCTGCCCCACAGTCTGAGGCACATGGAAGCAGCAGCCCCGATCCAAGTATTACCACCTGGCCAAGGAGGGGTGTCACCCCCAGCGCGGCACAGGGGCTCGGTCCCAAGACCGGGCTCTTCACCCTCACGGCAGGGGTCACAAACTCACCCTCCCCAAGGGGCGAGGCAGGCGCTGAGAGGTGAGACCACGGACAGGGTTGACCTCTTCTCAGCTCCAGTGACCGTGGCCGTGTGGGAACACTGGCCCCGTGGGTCTGCACTTTGATGGCTGAACAGAAGGCAGATGCATCTGTGGATTTTGTGAACGCTCCTGATGTTTAAGCCTAGGCAGTGTGTCAAGCACGGAGCTCAAGGTCGGCATTAGATGACAATCAGCTCCCTCGCTGCAGGGACTCTGCTCGAGGCCAGGCCTCTCACAGGGACCTGGGGCTGTGGTCAGAGCTCCTGGCGCAGGATTCCAGGCCTGCGGGGTCGCAACAGACCCGAGGGGGTGGGTCCCAGCTCAACAGCCAGACACAGAGGCACCTGCATCCCCAAATGCACGTGCTGTGAGAGGCAGAGCCTCCGGAGGCACCTGCAGGCAGCCAGGACTGTGATTTAGTGCATCCCCATGGAGGGCTGCTTTTCCATAGTGACAGTGATCAAAGTGATGATAAGGATGACAGTCCCCGGCAGCAGCAGCAGACACTTTCTGAGCACTCAGTGTGTGTTACAACTGCGCTAAGTGTTTGAATTTCAGCAACCCTGAGAGGTGGGTGCGACACGATCCCCATGTATAGTTCAGAGAGGTTGAGTGACTTGCCCACGGTCACACAGCTTGGTGGGGAGTTAGGTCATGTCTCAAACCCAGGTCAGCCTGATGTCCAAGACGTTGCTCTCAGTTCCCTAACTCTATACCCTTGGACAGGTTACTTAGCCCGTGTGCTTCCATTTCATCATGAGTAAAAGGGGGCAACAGCATCGACCTCTGGGGGTGCCTCCGAGGTTAAATGAGCGAGTACACGTGAAGCACCTGAACAGTGGCCGAGTGGTAGTTCTTGTCACTGTCAGTGCTATGACAAAGGTCACTAACTGCTGACACACTAATGGCCCTACTTTGGAGACTGGCCATGGCCCTGTGCTGTCTGTCTGTCTGTCTGCCTCATTTTACTTCAAGTCAAGTCCTGCTTCTTAGTTCAATTTACTTACTAAGAAACTATTGCTGCCCTGAAGGAGAAACTCGGACCCCTTGCTCTAATGAATGAAAATAAATAAATATCACTATCAAAATGTTTGCAAGCACCACTCACAAAACCTCATAGCTTACAGCCCAGCCTTGCCCCGCCCATCGGCCCAGCGCTCCTCCGACAGTACAAGCCCCCAGGTCACCCCAGCCTCCTCTGGGGGCTCCCGCTGCCCTCAGGGAAGGGCTGCCGGGCCTGGCCCGGCCCTTCCACCTCCCCATCCTACCCCAGCTCTGACCTCATCTATAAACCTACCACCCTGCCAAAATCTCGCAGTCTTTCCTGCTCCCAGGCCACCCACAGCCAACCAAAACCCAGCGTCTGGCTGCTGGTAAACAAAGTTTGCTGACACCCGGCCACTCCCTCTCCCATGTGCATCCTCTGCACGACCTGGCGGAGGTGAGATCTTCTAACCCCAAAGCCAACGATATTTACACCTGGCCCCTTACAGTTTCACAAGGGCCCCTCTCCCTGCCCAGGAGGCTGTCTCCCTCACTTTCTGCCCAGACAGCTCCTGCTCATCCCTCTGCCCCAGCTGGGCAGCTCCAGCCTCCGGGCACCCGCTGCCATGGACTCAGCTCAAGGTGTCACCAGGTTTGCTCACCTCCCTCCCTCCCTCCCTCTGGGAGGAGGGACCTGGACACATCACCATCACAACCCCGGACCCCCTAGCATGTACCACCCAGAAGAAAGTCCTCAAGACAGATCTGTGACCTCAACAAACCAACTCCGGTCTTAAGAACCCATCCCCAAACCAAGTGTGTGGTCAGAGAACACCTGAGGTGAGGGGCTGCTGACGGGAGCAGGCAGACTAGGAGGGGTGCCAGCGAGAGGTGGGGCCCAGCGGCCCGGCAGAGGGGGGACCTGGCCAAGTGCTCTCAGCCAGCCACCACGGTTCCACCAGCCACCGCCCTGACTGCAGTCAGACACCGGGGGACATGGGGACACAGGTGGGCCGAGAGGGCCACTGCAGGAGAGGTCAGGACTGTCGCACGGGCCACAAATCTTCAGATCCAAACTCTTGTCCTGTCTCCAAACTGGGGTGAAACTGGAGAGGCACAGCCAGACCTGGGTAGAGCAGGGCAGACCTCTCGGCAGGTGTCTGGGGAGGCTGGAGGGCAGGCTGGCCGCTGAGGCCCTGGCAGGCCTGGGCACACACCCAGATCCCCGGCCCCACGCTGCGGGGACCCAGCGCATGTCCCGGCCCCCACGCCTGGCCTGGCCTATTTACAGCTGCAGGTTTGCGAGGAAGTGGGCTTCCACCTTGACGGCAAGGTCTCCTGGGAGCTTTCTATGAAAACACAGCTAACAGGTCAGAGTGAGCAGCAGGTGGATATTTTAAAGCACATGGGCTTCGTCACGGGTTCATGCTTTTCTTCCTCTCCATCCCTCCCTTCCGTTCCTCCCTCTCTCCTCCACCCTCCCACAGCCGGCAACCATCCTGGTCCAGCCAATTAAAATCACAAGGACCACCACCACCACAGCCCCCACCATCCCCACCATGAATTACTCAACGTGGCAGACACTGCCCTGAGCTCCTCGCACCCTGCAAATAACCCCGATACAGGCCATTCTTTTCCCACGTAACAGAGGGGGAAAGAGGCTGAGATACGTGCTGGGCACACCTGGCAGAGAAGTGGCGAGCAGGGCTGTCCCACACGAGGGGCAGGCTGGCAGCACCGTCACCAGTGCCGCCAGCTCCAGGGCACTTCGTGACACTAAGGCACCATCCCAGGGAGGGAGGCCACTCTATGGAGGAGCAGGAAGCTGCTCTGGATTTAGGCCACTGGGAAGGCCCTCTGCCTCCATCCTGCCCTATCGCCTTGGGGCAGCTAAGATGCTCTGTCTGGAAACTGGCCCCTTTGGAGAGGATTTTCCTGTTCAGAAGCTCTAAGGGGACAAGAAAAGACATTGTGGGAGGAAGGTAGATGAAGTATCTTCATTTACTGCTCTGCCAGATTTGGGAAGCTACTGGAGAAAAATGCTATCGGAAATATTTAAACTGAACCATGCGGTGGAGCCGTGTGACAGGGCTCAGAGCCCAGGACATGGCTGTGCCTCTGAGGACAGTCTTCTACCGGAGCGGCAGCCCAGTCCCGGCCAGGAACCCCAGCTGCCGCCCAGGCCAGTGGCCATCATGGGAGCAGCTCAGCGCCAGGGTCCAGTCGATACCTGCATCGTCCGGATGGGTGTCTGAGGACAGCGGCTCATCTGGGGACGCCTGGTCTGTCCCAGCGGCCAACGGGCTTCCCGGCTGGGCTTCCTCCGAAGTCAGCGGCTCCTGCTTGGGTGTGGAAGGTTCGCTCTGTGCAGCTCGGGGGCCTCCATCAGGGCCGCATGCTTTGTTCTCAGCGTCTGTAAAGAAATTCAGCGGTCAGCTGTGGCCATCTTCCTACCTGCTTTCATTCTCGCGACTGGGAAGGATGCCACCCTGGGCCCCAGGGTGGCACCCTGCACCGCTCCCACACACCGGGGGAAGCACCTCCACTGTCCTCCTCAGGCAGCACCGAGCATCAGCACCCACTGGCCTCTGGCCACACCCCTTCTGGCCTGTGTGCTCTTACTTCAACACCTGTGGGAGACTGGATAATGCACCCCCCTACATCCCTGCCTTGGTGGGGCCCCCGACCCTGACCCTCTGCCTTGTGGCTCACTTTGGCCAGTGGGAAGTGAGCAGGTTTGATGCTACAGAGACTTAAAAAGTGCTTGCATATTCCTGCTTCTTCCTCCTGTACCGGGTCCTCACCCTGAGGACACGCCCAGCCAGGCTAGTAGGGGGTGAGCTGTGGGGGGCGGGGAGCAGAGCAGAGCGGCCCCCATCCCGCCAAACAAGGTCACCCAGACAGGTGACGGTGAACGCTGGCTGCTGAGGTGGTCATTATGCGACACCATCATGGCTACAAATAACCTTTCACCTCTGCACCCACCATCCCACCATCAGTCCCACGATACACAAATGCTTCTCAGTCACCGTCCCTGGAAAGGCAGAGATTAACAAGACAATCCTTACCCCCAGGGGCTCAAACCCTGGGGTGGGCACACAGCTGACCACACGTCGTATTGCCAGCCCAGGAACAGGGGCACAGCCAGACGGAGGCAGGACTCAGGGAGTCCTAGTCTAGACAGTTGGCCGTCCCAGAGTAGAGGGCAGCAGACAGAGAAGGGCTGAGAGAGGGAGCTGGTGCCTCCCCGCGCCCGGGCTCGGTAGCTTCAGCCTTTAAGGGTCTGGCCCTTGATGGGGTGGTCACCCCCCTGGGGTCCCAGAGTACTGATAAGGGGCTCAGGAGCATAACTGGTCCAGATCACAAGAGCACAGCGTGGCAGGTTCTGGCTGGAGACTCAGCCAGCTGACACAGTGGCCCTCCTGAGACACAGCTCACAGCCCAAGGCCTGCAGTGCCCACATGCCCCGCCCACATCCCTTGTACCCACAGGTGGTTCATCGAGGCCATCCCAGAGCAGTGTGTCACCGTGACCCGTACAGTTTCTTGTGCCCAGGCAGGAAACATCTCCAAGACTCAATTTTTCCATCTCTAAAATGGGGCTAAAACTCCTTGCTTCTCGGAGTCAGTGGGAGGATTCCATGAGTTAATGTCTATTATGTGTGTGGCACAAAACAAACACCGTGTGTGCCTGCAAGCACCCTCACTGCTGTTGAAGAGGATGACAAGGGTGATGGTGTGGCCACGTGGCCTGGGCTCCTGTGCCCACGTAGGAACTATAGGCTCCCTTTGCAGGGCCCTCCCCACGCCCAGGACTCAGGCCAGACCCACGACGGGCGACCCTTGGAGGGGTGTGCGCTCATGATCACCGTTCATCACCTTCCCTCCCCTGCACATCCCCTCGAGAGGAGGGCAGAAAGGTCGGTGGGCGAGAAGTCTGTAGATCTGGGGCCAGGACGATGCCATCTGCGCAGCCATGTCACCTGACCGGGGGGTCGAGGCCAGGGCCCGGCCAACTTTCTCTAGAAAGGAGCTGATAGCCAGTATCTTAGACTTTCTGGGCCACTTGCCACAAAGTCCAGGCTCCATATTCTTCTTTGATTTTTAATTTTGGCCAAAATCCTTTAAGTTTAAAAAACCATTCTTAGCTCGAGGGGCTTTACAAAACAGGTCCAGCAGATCTGTGATTTTCCAACCAACCCCAAACAAAGAAAAGACCAAGACACAAACCAAGAGAACCCACCCAGTGGACACAACTGGCTGCCACACAGCTCAGAACTACAGCTTCTCAGACACTCCCTCACGACTGGCTTCCTTAGACTTGACACACAGCTGTGATGGTCCCCACCACTGGCTTGCCTGGCTCTTACTAACAGAGGGGACACGCCAGCACTGACCGAGGGTTTGCCCTGCTGGAGACACAGCCTGGCGCTCCGCGGCCCCATCTCACTGGAACTTCCTAGTGCCCCACCCTGTCAGGTGGGACTGCCACCTGCCTTCACAGATGGGGACACCGAATCTTAGGAGGGGTGAGTCATTTGTTGCTGGTGACCATCACTTTTGTTAATGACAGTAGCATCTCCATCATCATCACCATCATCAATAAAATGGTCAGAATGCTGAGCCTGAAAGGCCCAGAGGTCTCCAGCCTACCCCCCGGGGCTCCACAAAGGCTGCACCCTGCCACACAGTCCTGGGGTTCCTCCACCTGCCTTCCCAGCTTGGTGGACTTGCAGGACTTTTCTGGGCTGTGCTCAGAGCTTCCGCTCATAATCACGTTCAATGAAAAGTTAGAGTTCCCAAAATAGCCGTGGTGGCAGGGCCGTTGCTAAGCAACGGAGGTGGCGGCGGGGGGGGGGGTGGCCGTGGGCAGCTGGTCCCCTGGTCCTCTCTCTGTACCCTGGGCCCTTCCTCCTGGCCCTTCCCTTCCGAGGGCAGCAGAGGGGAGCAGAAGCCGGATGCCCCCGCTATAGACAGAGTAGCTACTGTGAGAGGGGACACGCCACACACACACGTGCGTGCACACGTGTACATGCAGATGCAGACACACACACACAAGCTGCCCCCAGCGTTCCTGCCCCACAGAAACCAGACAGACTTGATTTGTCACTGCCAAATGCCCTGAGGAGAGGCACCTCGTGTCTCTCAGGTCACCAAACACAGCACAAGGGTAACAACTGCCTCTGTCTTCTATCCAGTGATGGAGAATGAAATTCCATAAGGAACTTAAGACAAGGCCAAGGGGACACATCCAGGAGGATGGAGGAGTCATTCAGGAGCACATGCAGTGTCTGGACAGAGACGCGGGCAGGCCTCTGTCCTCACTCATCGCATTTGGACTGAGGCCCCAGTGGAGGGGCTGGGACGCCGGCCGGCCCTTGCCTGTCACAGACATGTCACCGGCCAAAGCAGTGAAGACGCAGTGAGGGGAAAGGTCAGCTCCCCCGCCACCCAGAGTCAGTCCCATCTCACACATCTCCCAACCACACAGATAGAGTCCTTCCTGGGTCCGGCAGATGACCAGGCTTTCGGGAACCAGAGGAGAGGTCAGAGTGGTACATAAAACGCCCCCTGGAGAGGATGAAAGGCGAATTTGTGCCCTGGACACAGGCCTGTCTCTGGGACGCGTGGGCTCTCTCCTGCAGACCCTGTGTACGGCCTGCTCACGCTGCCACGTTCCTCACTGCTTTGTGGGCAAACTCCACACAAAGAGGTGTCCTGTGCACACCTGTGCAGGGCAGAGAACCAGCCTGGGTTTGGCCCGGCCAAGGAAATTCCAGGGCGAGTTCCTGGGCTGCTAAGGACTCCGGGCAGCTTTGGGGGGGGTCTGAGGCCCGAGCCCGTGGGGGCCTCTCTGGGCCCCCCCGGTCGCTGTCAGGCAGCCTCCCAGGCGCCCACTGGTGTGAAGTCCAGGCTCAGCGGGGGCAAGGGGCAGCCAGCCACAGGGGCGTGTTCCTGGCCGCAGAGACGGCCAGCCTGGCTGGGCGCAGGTGGTGGCAATGGAGGCTGATTCCCAGGGGTGGGGGTGGGGGACGTGGGGCGGCAGTGGCGGTTCCGCTCCCGAGGCCACGGATTCCTATCAACCCAGCAGGAACCCTGAGGTCCCAACTCCAGCACAAATTAGAGACAGACAGCGCCCACTCTAGAACCAGACGTTTCCCCACCGCACCCCTGCCCAGTGAGAAAAGGCGTTTTTTGAGCCAGGGCACAAGGGAGAAATAGCGCGAGGAAGGTTTTACCCCAGGGTGACGACCTGTGGCCAAATGTTTTCATCTCTTCTCTCTGTCCACTAGGCACACAGTGAAGGGTCTAAGGTTTACGAGTAGGTGGTGAACCCACATCCCTGCCCCCTCTCCCTGACCCATCCCTTTCCGGGGCGACCCCTGCCGCCCTCCTTCTAACAAGCCCCCCCGCCGCCCCCCCGCAGCGCAGCGCCCCGAGCAGGCTCGCAGCAGACTCAGCCCCCTCGCCCTGTGGCTGCCCGACCCCCTACGGCCCACGGAGGTGCCTTGTCACCCAGCCGCCTCCTGGGGAGCCTGATTCTCCTGGCCCTGTCTGTGTTG